TTGCGTTTCGGCGGCGAACGCGCTGCTCTCTCTCCCTCTCCCTTTCCCTCTGTGTCTCTCTGTCTCTCTCTCTCTCTCTCTCCCTCTCCCTTTCCCTCTGTGTCTCTCTGTCTCTCTCTCTCTCTCTCTCTCCCTCTCCCTTTCCCTCTGTGTCTCTCTGTCTCTCTCTCTCTCTCTCTCCCTCTCCCTTTCCCTCTGTGTCTCTCTGTCTCTCTCTCTCTCTCGCTCTGTCTCTCTCTCTCCCTCTCCCTCTCTCTCTCTCTCTCTCTCCCTTTCTCTCTTCAACGACGGATGCACACGCCGAGGACAAGCGGAATGCGTATCAGCGCAGTGGTTTATCGTCGCCCTTCAATTTGTTCGCGGCCGCTCGCAATTTCCGATCGAAATGTAGGTAATTGATGATGAAATTAATGGAGACCGCGATAGATTTCTTGCGCGTCGATCGCTCGGCGCTAACTACCGAGATCTCTTCTCTGGTATTGATTATTTCGTACGATAGAGATATGTCATTCGATTTGCGATCATTAAACGGAATGTTTGTTTCAGCGACGCGACGGCTGTTCATACACGATTATAGAAAAAGCGACAAATTCATCAGTTTGGTTGCTAACGAAGCAACGAAGCGAATGTTTCTGAACGTAGGAGCGTGTTTTTTTAGCGAATCGAGGAGAACGAATCTGTGTTACTTGAAATGAAGCAAAAACGCTACATTTCAGAGTAATTAATTCAGTAGTTTTTTTTTTAAATAAATACTAATTATTACTGTTATTATTTAAACTTCATTCTATCGAAAATTGAACGATGTACACTGTACCACTGTATCGATAATATCGATACTAAGATGCATCGATTCATATTGATGAATATCGATAAATATCGATAGTTCGCTACATCAATAATACCGATAAATATCAATAGTTCGACACATCGATAACGTCGATAAATATCGATAGTTTGGTACATCGATATTGTCGATAAATATCGATAGTTTGGTACATCGACAATGTCGATAAATATCGATAGTTTGGTACATCGACAATGTCGATAAATATCGATAGTTTGGTACATCGACAATGTCGATAAATATCGATAGTTTGGTACATCGATAATATCGATAAATATCGACAGTTCGATACATTAATAATATCGATAGCTCGATACATTAACAATATCGATAGTTCGGTACATTAATATCGCTAGTTTATTTTTCCGAATAGTTCGCCGATCGTCAAATAATTGAAAAAATTCGACCGCTCTACTGGTCCTCGAGCCATCGAACATCGAATTCGGCTCGACTCGTGAGATTCGATTCCTCGCAGTTAGAAATATCCTCGAGTAGATGCATTAATTAAATCAATTAGAGGAAAGGAAACAGGAAATTGCGGCGTTCTATTCCGTTAGAGGCATCCTCGTGAATACAAATCCGCGGGCGGTCGGCATCTGTTGTTTCGCATTAATGATACCCGCCGCCGATTCATGAATCAGCAGTTCGGTAATATCCGGCCCGGGGAAAAAGGCGATAATCGTTCGTGAAATATCGGCAGTTCGCTGATTCCGCGTAATTCCCGGGAACTGCGTTTACGGGGCCGGGGCTGACTCCTCCATCCTTTTATCCGGAAGCCTCGCGGTGATTATGATGCGCCGGTGAAAAACAAGACCCGGGAAAATCGCCGCGGAGGTTATTAATTAACCGGCGACTTCCCCCGTCTCTTTGATCAATTTTCCCGATCCTCGACTGTTTAAACAACCATCGGTTTTCTCAGCCGATTTGCGTAACACGAAGGGTAAACAAGGAGTTTCATCTTTTCTCGAGATGCTGCACTCTGTCGATCTAGTGCGGTCCCGTTGATTTTCTACTCGGATAATGGGTATTTGTTCATTCGTGGTTGTTTGATGCGTCGGCACGTTAATTATGGTCCTTTATAGCGAATTAACGAGGCATTGTTTGGAACTGTAGGTATTTCATAATTTGCGGCAATTAAGGAATTAAAATATTTACAACGTCTCTGAAGTAATTCACGAAATTTTTGATATCTTGATGATTATTTTAATGATTTCTGTTACCTCTGCAATGATTTCGCATATTTTTGACGTAGCTGGAAGACATCTTTCCAATGATTTAAACAATTCTTGACGTTTCTGCTATAATTAAAAAGATTTTATACATATCTGCGATAATATACAACATTTCTTAGATCTTTGCAATAATTTCAAAAATGTTTAACATCTCACCAGTGGTTTATAAAAATTCTTGATATCTCTGCGATAACTTAAACAATTTCCGATGTTCCTGTAATAACTTGAAAATTTCTTGACAACCACCCAATCATTTAAAACAATTCTTAACATTTCTACTATTAATTCTCTACATTTTGATAATAATTTAAAAGCGTTCATACATCTCTACAATGATTGAAAACATTTTTGACGTCCCAAGAAATCATCTTTACGACGACTTAAATGATTCTTGACATCCCAACAATTGTTTAAAAAATTCTTGATTCATCTACTATAATTTAAAAAATTCTTGACATCCCAACAATTGCTTAAAAAATTCTTGATTCATGTACCATGATTTAAAAAGTTCTTGACATCCCAACAATTGTTGAAAATATTTTTGATTCGTCTACTACGATTTAAAAAATTCCTGGTATCCCAACAATTGTTTAAAAAATTCTTGATCCGTCTACAACGATTTAAAAAATGCTTGGCATCCCAAGAATTGTTTAAAAAAAGCTTGACATCTTAATAATAAAATTTAAAACGTTCAATATATCTCTACAATGATTTAAAATATTTCTGACACCTCGAAAATAATTCAAAAACATTCGTAACATCTTCGTTCAGTGGACAGTTCGCCGAACTGCTTCACACAACGAAATTCCGTCGTATTACCAGTAATTTGCCATCGAAGTCTTCCTCGAACTGTTCGCTGAACGTTGCTAATAATCCGCGGCTAACGCGCGACGAAGTGGAAATATGTATTTCATAATTCACGACGGGTGCTCACAAAGGGAGGAAAACGAGTGATAAAGTAAGAGAGAGAGGGAGAGAGAGAGAGGGAGAGAGAGAGAGACAAAGATGGAGGGAGGGAGAGAAGGAGAGAGTTATGGGGTGAGATGGCACCGCGGCGAACAAATCGAATCCGGCGCAAATTAGCGCGAACGCTGGTACACGAATTCGTCTTGTTGTCATGAGAAATAATTGCCGGGAGAATTCCTATGGACCGTGGGTCGAGACGGGAAGGCGAACCTTCCCCCGGGGTTATAATGCCGGGATGAAGCGCCCGAGGTTATTAGTTTAGGAAGCTGCAAAGTACCCCGAAACAAAGTCTCTCTGTCCCTCTATAGGGTAATCAATATACAAGCGACGACCCTGCCGCCGTTTCACCTCGTTGATTCAACCTGAATCGCCGGCGAAGATCCCTCCCTCGAATTAGTTGCTGGCAAAGCATCGCTGTCGGGTTCGCCGACGTCAGAGAGCGATAGGTGATAAACTGTCATCGCGCTCGCCGGCACGGACGTCCCTTTCTCTCGGCGACGTCCGCTCCGTGTTTCAGATTAATTACGAAATTTCAATTATTCTGCCGAACTAGCCGTATAGAACATCCCAGACGGCCACGAGTCTGTGTGATCGCCGGATTTTAGACGCACCGGAGAAAAATTGGTAGACCGAATATTTATTAAATGGAAACGGCATTTACGGAATTTAGAAATACTGTATTGCATCGTTTATTATAACGATTGCTGGCGTGGATAAAAATTAGTTTTTAGAGATCATTTTTCAGATTGTGTATGATTATCTCCTATTTAAAAATCATCTATGATAATTTCGCAGTTATCTATGATTTTTCGGCTAAAAATTGTCGACGATAATTTTCCAGTTAAAAATTGTCCACGATAATTTTCCAATTAAAAATTGTCGACGATAATTTTCTAGTTAATAATTGTCTATTGTAATTTCCTAGTTAAAAATTGTCTATGACAATTTTCTAGCTATGAATTGTCCACGATAATTTTCCAGTTAAAAATTGTCCACGATAATTTTCCAATTAAAAATTGTCGACGATAATTTTCTAGTTAATAATTGTCTATTGTAATTTCCTAGTTAAAAATTGTCTATGACAATTTTCTAGCTATGAATTGTCCACGATAATTTTCCAGTTAAAAATTGTCCACGATAATTTTCCAATTAAAAATTGTCGACGATAATTTTCTAGTTAATAATTGTCTATTGTAATTTCCTAGTTAAAAATTGTCTATGACAATTTTCTAGCTATTAATTGTCCACGATAATTTTCCAGTTAAAAATTGTCCACGATAATTTTCCAATTAAAAATTGTCGACGATAATTTTGCAGTTAATAATTGTCTATTGTAATTTCCTAGTTAAAAATTGTCTATGACAATTTTCTAGCTATTAATTGTCCACGATAATTTTCCAGTTAAAAATTGTCCACGATAATTTTCCAATTAAAAATTGTCGACGATAATTTTCCAGTTAATAATTGTCTATTGTAATTTCCTAGTTAAAAATTGTCTATGACAATTTTCTAGCTATGAATTGTCCACGATAATTTTTCAGCTAAAAATTGTCCACAATAATTTCTCATCTAAAAATTGTCTATGACTATTTTCCAGCTAAGAATTGTCCACGATTATTTTCCAACTAAAAATTGCCCACGATAATTTTCCATCTAACAATTATCGACGATAATTTTCTATTTAAAAATTATCGAGGATAATTTTCTAATTATCTATTATAATTTCCCAGTTACAAATTTTACATGACAAATTTTTGAGTTAAAAATTTCACATGATAAGTTTTGAGTTAAAAATTATCTACGACAATTTCCCAGAGTTAAACATTGTCTATTATAATTTCCCAGTTAAAAATTGTGCACGACAATTTTCGAAACGTGTAATGAAACTATCTTCGAACGAAACACCGTCCGGTCCAATTGATGTTCCATGGACTAACATCGACTAATTATTGTTGCAGTCCAAGCAGTACAGCGCTGGGTTCGCTGGATCAGCTGAAGGAGTACCTGACGACAGTGGGAACCTGCAAATGCGGACTCGAATGTCCGCTAAAACCTGAACAGGTCTTCAACTTCGACCCCAAGGTATGTTCGCAGTCATTTTTATCGCGGCCCGGTCACGATCGTTTCGTGTATTTCGTGTCCGGCGAAATTACAGTAATTATGGCGATATGGGTATGTACACGAGTACATATTGAATATTTGTATAATACCCGCAGAAGTATTACCCGGGTAGATTAACAATCTCCGGGTTGCGATCACGATAAGTAGTCACGATATGCATCCTCCGCTTTCCGCAAATGAATATTTATTGTTGGGAACACACTCGCGCATTCGAAATTCATATATTAGGAATACCAGGCAATTATTTCGTTTCTTTTTCATTTTGTAACGTGGATATTACCGCGGTCGCTGTAATTTGCTACAGAGATGTTACTTTATGATCGGTGCCGACTTGCGCGTCAGTGTGCAGTTTAGCCGTTACGTGTATGTTTAATTAGCGGTGCTAGTGGTGCACGGGATTCAGGGCTGAGATTGTTACAAGATAGGTGGCTCGATGTTATAGCGTTCCCGCTGGATGCAGGGGAAGTTTAAATCATTTTTTTGCGGCTTTGGATATTGTAGAATAATTTTGAATATTCGCAACTTCGCTGGAAGTCATTTTTAGAATGATTTAAAACATTTTTGGCATATCTCTGTAAGAGTTTGACACAATTTCTGATGTTTCTGTGGCGATTCAAAAGATTCCTGACATTTCTGCAATTATTTAAAAAGTGTCTGACAGCTGTACAATTATTTGAAATAATTTTTAACGTGCTTGGAATAATTTAAAAATATTTCGGCATCCGCACAATGATTTGAACAATTTTTGACATCCGTCATTGATTTCAAAAATGTTTACGATGATTCCAAAAATTCTTGACATCTGCCTAAATCATTTACAAAAATTCTTGACATCTGTCCAAATCATTTACATAAATTATTGGCATCCCATCAAGTATTTAAAGAATTTCTCGACATCTCTGCAATGATTACAAAAATGTCTACAACAAATGTCTACAATTTGTACAACGTTTTTAACATATCTGCAGCAATAATATGAGAAATTTCTGATACCTCTACAATGGTTTAAACAATTCTTAACGCCTCCACAATAGTACAAAAAATTCGCAACATTTTCATAAGTTCTATAGCAATAGAAAAGATTTCGAGCATTCAATCGACCAAATTTATTGCAGGAGAAGGAATCACTTTCTATTCGCTTTCTGTTTCTTGCAATCGACCCAGACAATTCGCGTTTCCCTTAAAAATCCGCAACCTATTAACACGCTATCCGCGGGTCGCAGGTCGAGCTTTGCTCGCGTCCAACGAGAGAAAGTCAGCGAATTTCGAAAAAATCCTTTTTTTTAGAAAGAACTCTGTGTTCGACGAGTATGCTCGTCATCGCTTGATTCTCGCGACACATATAAGTACGCGCTCTAAAAAGGAGACGCCACAGCTAACTGGTTAAAAGTATATTAACCCTTTGCAGTCGAAGCTATTTCAATTCGAAATCTAAAACATGATCTCCGATCGGCAGTATTTCAACCTTATACAATTAATTGCGATTTATGCGTATGAAATTGCGCCCGTTGGCGAGGCACAATGAAATTTCAACGGTTTGCATTTTTAAATACGAACGTCGAATCTGATGCTCGTGCAATGATCTTGAAAAATAGTGTACCAATTTTAGTGGCGCCTCGGAGTCGCCACTCGACTGCAAAGGGTTAATAACTGTCCCGCACATAACGCGTTGATAGCAAACGAATCAGCTTCGTCTAAATGTCATCGGTACGTTCAACCACGCTGTTCCATAGAACCAACCACGAACAGCCGCCCGAGACTCCGATCGTTCGTCGCAAAAACCGCACGGTAAACAAAATGCAAGAGCCAGCTGTTGTTCGCTTCACCGTCGACTAAAGATCGAATTCATTGGAACAGGAAGAGAGTCTGCTCGGCGCATAGAAACGTCTATAAGAAGACAATCGGGATTTAATGGCGTCCGGCTTTGGCAGGCCGATTTAAATAAATCTGCTTTATAGTTCGCGCGGACAAGAACTCCGAATCGGGGAATCGAGCCTCGTAAAAACCGCGTGCATACACGGAGACGCGCGCCTGCACACACACGCGCACACATACACGAGCGCATATACACAGGTCGTGGCTGCTCGCGAGTAAATTGTTGGCCGTGTAGCAAAACGACGAGCTGTGTTCCTGTCGTAATCTGCCCGGAGAAATCTCCGGTGTCGGCGTGCCTCGTGCAATGAGTCAATACCGCATGCAGCACGAGCGATGACGCCGAGAAAACGCGCGCATGCAGCGAGCCGAGCTGAGCTGAACGGAGCGGAGCCGAGAGAGTGCACAGCGTGCGGCAGGCTTGTGCAGAATGCGTTTCGCATTTTTCTGACGGGACCGTGATCCCACGACGCGTCTCCCGACAGTGAAAGTTCGCCGGATGGATGATCTCTGTGAACCTGGACCTTTAATTACGATTATTAGTTAAACGACCCTCCGCTTCGTTCATCGATTCCTCCGGAGATACTATTGTCTTGCGGTTCCTTCGCTTTGCTGATTATTCGCCGCAGATGTTCCTTCTTTTCTTTTTTCTGTTTTTTTTTGCTGTCATTGATATCTTCTGCGAGATTTATTTACACTCGTGCGAGATTTATTTGCACTTGCACCGTGGACCATTTTCGAGCACGGTTCGCGATGCTTTTGATCGTTCGGTTTTTTTGAAACGCGTTCTTGAAGCTACTTTTTTTTTTCTATTTGAGCTAGGAACTCCTTGCAGGGCTGTTGGATTTATGCACATTGCTGTGCATAGAAACAATGTACAGTAAGGGGCATAATCGAACCGATAACCACAGGTATTGTATAAATTATTATTTATTGTTAGGACTGTAGATATCATTCTAATAATGCTAATGATGATTTTAATAATGTAGATATCACAGATGTTATCCTGCGGTGACAATTTTGTTGCTCTTCCTCCAATATTTGATAATACAATTTTACAGTATTTTTGTCCTGTTCTCTGCACTGTCGATTACTACTTTCGTTTATAGTTGACGATTTTGGGATCATTCGCGGCTTTCTTTATCGTTCTTTTTGGGACAGGTTTTTGGAGATACGAGTTGTAGGTTTATTAGTCTTTCCGTGTAGTAATTAAAAAATAGTGGCAATTTATGTAATTTAATTGCCAATAACTCAGTGATCAGACTATTTTCGTGTACAGTTTTTCTATACTTATTTCTAAAGATATTTCTCGTTGATTATTAATCTTTCTGTCGTTCCTAGCGAAACAATTAAAAAATAGTGTAACAGCAATTAATTTCATTTCATTGCCATAAATTGAGCAATTAAGTGGCGATTTAAAATACTGAATTGTAGAACGCATAATTTGTTAAATATCTCGGGAACCAGACGGCGTAGAAAAATTAAGTTTCGTTTCAGTTGTATATCGTCAAATGGAAAAACGAAGCCACATCGAAAAATTGCAGGGAAAGTGGCTTACGTAAATAATATATTAAAAATCTATCATACAGTTTTTGTTCTCGATACTGCCTTTGACTTATGGACGTTTGATGTACAATTTGATTTGACATATAATTATATTTAATATATTATTAAATGTGACACGTAATTACATTTGACATACAATTCTATTTTTCACATAATTACATTTGATAAACAATTCATTGTGACACACAATTCTATTTGTCACACAACTAGGTTCGATAAACAATCATTAATATATTATACATTAAAATAATATATTAAAAATCTATCATACAGTTTTTATTCAACTAGGTTCGATAAACAATCATTAATATATTATACATTAAAATAATATATTAAAAATCTATCATACAGTTTTTGTTCTCGATACAGCCTTTGATTTATATACATTTGATGTTCAGTTCACATATAATTACACATTTTTGACACGTTAGTTATATTTCTTATCGAATTCGATTTGACGCAGAATCACATTTTACCCACGATTCAAATTGACACAGAATTACGTCTTTCCATCAAGATGTCAACGTCACTGATCGATGCAGTACTTTATGCAAATACCGAAACTTTCGTTTTCCTATGAAAACTCGACTCCGGCCCACGTGCACTTGCGTTCCGCTAGCATACGCGTATAATTTGCTGATCCCTCAACGAGTTCATTAGCGACCGAACGCAAACCGTTTTCAGAGGAAGAGAGTCCAGGGGGATAGCGACGATAATAAGAAAAGCCTGATGCAAATGGCTCGTTGGATTTCGTTTTCTAGCGTGATTAGAGGCCGCTGCTTTTATGCGCACGCTTGTCTACCGGTTATTACACGCTTGAGCACATGAAGCTTGTAATTATTCCTTTTTAAAATTCCGAACAACTTCTCTCTCCCCTCCCCCTCTCTCTCTTTTTTCTCTCTCTCTTCCTTTCTCTTCCTCTCTCTTTTTCTCTCCCTCTTTATTCCTCTTTCTCTTCCTCTTTCTTTCTCTTCCTCTTTTTCTCTCTCTTTTCGTCTCTCTTTTTCTCCTTCTCTCTCTCTCTCTCTCTTTCTCTTTTTCTCTCCCTGACGTTGTTGTGTTTTCCAAAAGAACTCGCGATGGAATGCTTGGAAATTTAAATAGGCTTACCGATGATTGAGTTTTATCTGCAACGACGAGCTCGACTCGTCATTTCGACTTCTTCGAATCATCAGTTCAGAGCAAATTCTATTATAATAATCCAGAAAGTTTTATTATAATCCCAAAAAACGCGTGAAATTAAATAATAGTATCATTTGACTGCGAATCTTTATGCAATTGATGACACGTGCAAATTTCTGAGACACAAGAGATCGTATATGTTAATAAAACTTGATTGTATGAGCCTCGTTGAAAGCAGGAATGATACAAAATCAAAAAAGTTAATTTATGAACAATGATGGATGAGTCAGAAGTTCTGCAAAATAGAGTAACATAGAGAATTCTTAGAACTATTTTATGTAAGCCATTTTCAAGCTTTAACTTCAAATAATAAAAAGAAATCAAATAAAACATGAAATTAA